CCACAAGGCGCTCAGGACGCAGCCACCTGCCTCTGGGCGGTGCTTTCTGTGATCCAGGCCCCACAAGCCGGGCGCCTTTTTTAAAAAAATATATTTTTGTATTGATTTCAGAGAGGAAGGGAGAAGGAGAGAGAAACACCAACGATGAGGGAGAATCATGGATCGGCTGCCTCCTGCTCGCCCCGCACTGGGGATCGAGCCCACAACCCCGCACGTGCCCTGACCCGGAGCCTTCAGTCCGCAGGCAGAGGCTCTATCCACTGAGCCGAACCGGCCGGCCCCAACGCCTCTTTATTTCTGTCTGTTTATCCCAGTTCATTTGCCGACACAGACATTGCTACCGGATGTCATCCCAGAGTATTGCAGCCTTTTCATGTCTGACACCAGGTTACCACTTGAATGATACTCAGTCTCCACTTCATGTCATCCCATAAAACCAGATGGTTTGTGATTTTGTAACGAAAATATCTGTGAAATCTGGAGTAGATGTTAAGTGCACGTGGCACAAAGGTCCAAGGTCTGGAGCCTGGGGGAGCCCTCTCTGCAGAGGTCACCACTGTGGAAGCGGGCCCACTGCTCCAGTTTCCGTGGTAACATGTGGGATTTGAAAAGGCTGCCTTTGGGCACCTGCCGGTTAGTGTGTGCCGTTTATGTATTTTAAACACCAGAGGCCCAGTCCTTCAGGGTGGCCTGTGGGGATCGGGCCCCAGTCGCACCCCCAGCCTCAGCAACGCCTGGTACCCCGCCTTGGCCTGGTGCTGCCCCCTCACCTGTTCTACCATTCGCCTTCAGGGCGATTGATTTGGGGTGCCCTCCCCCCAACACACACACACACTGGGCTGTCTCAGGGCCTGGAAGCTGGGGACGGCCCCGCCCCCCACCGCGCTGGTCGCCATCTGTGGGGTGATCGGGCTCCCGCTCGCACCCGCCTTGGCCTGGCGCCGCCCGCTCACCTGCTCCACCATCCCACCGTGGTCCCACTCTCATTAGGGCCCATCGGGGCCAGCAGCACCTCCACTGCCAGTGCTGTGTCGCCGATACCGACCCTGATCTGTGCCACCTCCTGGTGGTCAGTGCAGCCATAGCGAGTGGTCAAATGACAGCCCAAGGAGACAATTTGCATATTAGGCTTTTATTATATACTAAAGGCCCGGTGCATGAAAATTCATTCACTGGAGGGGGGTCCCTCAGCCCGGCCTGCCCCTTCTCTCCGTCCAGGAGCCCTCGGGCGGGAGGCGATCCGGTGATCAGGGGAAGGCGACGCCCCATCACACCTCTGCTGCTGTCACTGTCGGCAGCACAAGCCTCAGCTGGCCCTGGTTACCTGATCATCGGGTGGCCCTTGGCAGCTGTGCAGCTGCCATCCAAGGCTTGCCTGCACCTTGGGCCGGCCCTGGGCGGCTGGGCAGCCACCATCTGGGGCTTGCCTCTGC